AAAAAAAAAAGGTGGAAGAGACCCAAGTGTCCATCAATGAATGAAGGAACGGATAAGCAAAACGTGGTGATATATATAYATTAAAAATGGAGGAAATCAGGGCTGGGGCTGGGGCTCAGTGGTAGAGCACTCGCACATAAGGCATTGGGTTCAATCCTTAGCAYCACATAAAAATAAAATAAAGGTATTATGTCCATCTATTATTAAAAATATATATATTTTTTTAAATGTAGGAAATGGGAAGTCAGTGTTTATTGGGCATGGAGTTTCAGTTTGGGAAAAGTTCTGGTGGTGGAAGGTGTTGATACTTTCAACAAAATGTGAATGTACCTAATGTCACTGAACTGCACACTTAAAAAGCAGTTAAGGTGGTCAATTTTATATACAAGCAAATGGGAGAGCAAAAGCGTGCAATCTGGAACTCCACAGGCTTCCTAGATTCGAATTCCACTTCTAGGTGACCTTGTGCAAGTTTTAAACCCCTCTCGCACTGACCCTCTGCAAGACAGAAATGGTATCAGCAGCGACTCCACAAGGAGATGAGGGAATGAAATGTGTTCATACTTGTAGAGTCCCGAGTACACAGTRAGTGCTCAGGAGGTATTAGTGATTTTCGCCCTTCTTTCAAGGCTGGGAGGTGTGGCTTCTGATGTTTGTCATTTTTATGACACTCTACACCCTCCCCTCCCCCTTCCCTCCACCTGCTTCTCTCCTTCTGGCCCAGACTGGGTAGAGACAGGGAGGCCCTTGCCTGCCCCAGAGGAGGATCAGGAAGGCTCCAGGCAATGGACAGGGGCCAGCCAGTGGGGCAGCCCAGCTGTCCAGGTCAGAGACACCCGTTGGGCATCCTCCAGGGCCATGCCAGGTCCCAGGCTATTTCTGGAGTCTTCCTGACGCTCCTGTCCTGGCCTGCCCAGCAGTCAGCCATGCCCAGAGCAACCCTGCACAAACCTCAGGAAGGGAGAGATGAGCAGGCTGTGGGAGGGGTGTGGGYGTGGAAGCCTCGRGCACTGAGCTCCTGCCCRGGCCACCCATGGGCCCACCTCCACAACTCAATATTCTGGGCCTCRGTTTGCACCTGAGATTGCAAAATGGGAAAGGAGCCTTGAACGGGGTCTGGATAAGGGAGAAATCACAGGCTAGACCTTGGCGAGGGACCTGGCACTCAGGAGGGAAGGTGGGGGTGAGACAGAGCCAGAGCCAAGCCCACTTCCTGTCCTAGAGTGCCCTCTGCCTAGGCCTGACCTCATCATCATGGTGTTTTATCTCAGCCCAGAGATGTGAAGAAACTTGCCAAAGTCACATAGCAAGTCAGTGACAGATCACAGACAGGGCAGTGATCTCATAATTTTATTTATACTTAATCACTAAATATAAATATTTAATGATTTTTTTCAATGTACATGTTTCAAAATTCAAAAACTTTAAAGGGAATGAAGTTTAAAAAAGCCAAACAATCAACTCCCTCCCACCTCTGTCCCCAGCCCCCCTCCTCACGGGCACCACTGGGACAGACAGTTGTGTACCCTTCCAGAGAAACCTGAGGCACACGCAAGCGAGTAGGGACATACATTCTTTCTCTTCTTCTAGACATAYAGTATCACGCTGTGCATATAGTTTTCACTTGCTCTTTGACTCAGTATATATGTTGTTCTTGATGCGACATCAGTACATAAACAGCGTCCAATTATTTCCCATCAGCCCCTGTGCCACGCAGCTTAGCATCCATCTGTCCTGTGCATCTGTTACAAACCACACTGCAGGTGCAGCATTACTGCAYCTATAGCATTGTCTAGAAGTGGGACAGCTGAATCAGGGGATGCACTTATAACTGTGACAGAGATGGGGGAAGGGCTGCGCTCCACGGAGGCTGTCTGACTTGACCTCCCACCAGCAGAACGCACAGCAAATGGTCAGCAGATGCCAGTTAATCAAGTTACCTTGATTACCAAGGTTTGGGGCTCCCTAGATTTTGTGCTAACTTGCCTCATCCTGCCCCTGCCCTGCATCACATTCCAGTGGCTAATAGACAAAGTATATAGGGCACAAGGTGGAGCAGATATTACTGAGAAAAGCAAAGCGTGCCAAGAGGCCAGATCCTATGAAGTCAACAGGCATTTGTTGAAAGAATGAATGAATGTGGCTTGTTTTCTTCCTGAGTGTCCAAGTTCCTCTCCCCAAAGCCAGGGGGAGTGTACAGAGGAGAAGATAAGAACTCCCTTCGGGAGAGATGCAGGACATTCAAATCCTATAAGTCTATGGGTCAAAGCCTCAAAGATGAAAGCAAGACAGACTGAGAGCCAACCCCTGCGTGGCCAAGTCTGTGATAGCCCCCACCTACAAAAGGAGACCTACAATAGTAACCTGCGGGGAGGGGCATACCCAGGAGGCTGAGCAGAGTCAAACCTAAATTAGATGCTCCACCCTGGGAGGGTCCAAGCCTCAATCCCCACTCCAAAGTCTCTGATGACCAGTGGCTCTGGTTTARAGACGGCCCCAACCCGCCTTCCACCAACCCGGGGCAGACTCCCAAGAGGCCAGCAGCGACTTGCAGAGCCTTGGAGTCTGCTGCCCACCCACCCGGAATCTAGCCCAGAAACGTCAGCCTCGTCTGATCCCCAAAGAGGGGCCCTCTAGGGACAAGGGTCTCAAATGAACCCTGAGTTGGGACCCTCTAGGGGCAAGGGTCTCAAACGAACCCCGAGTCCAGCCGCTGGGGAAGGAAAACGGGTGTCAGAAGGGGTATCCCAAGGACGGTGCGGGGTGGGGCCGGGGCATGGAGGATCCAGCCAGGGTTCCAGGAGCCGCGCCCCTGTCCTCAGGAGCTCAGACAGTGGCCACCACTTGTCATGGGGTCTCTCCACACCAGTGGCTGTGAGGTGACGCGGAAGGACGGGGACTCCCGGTGGCTCCTCAGGGCCTAGGACTCTGCCTCAGCCTCGGCGTCCCACTGTGACTCAGGACGCGGGGGCTGCGCGGGGACCACGCACCCGGCAGGCGCTCGGTGAAGGGCCTCGGACCCGGGCTCGCACCTGCGGCACCGCGCGCTCACCTGGAGCCCGCGCTAGGCGTRTCCGGCTCCTCCGTCGCGGGCACTGGAGAGGCTGACAGCTCGGACCTGGCGAGAGGCGGAGGCCCCAGCGCCGCGTGGGACCCAGCGGCTTCCTCCGGGAAGCCCTCCGCCCCCGACGGAGCAGGTGGCCCCGGCTGCCCGACGGCCCCGCCCGAGCGGAGGAAGGGGAAGTGAGCGTGCCCCCCCCCCGTCGCCGGAATGGTTCGCCCCGGACTTCCTGATTGGTTCCTCGCTTCCGTTCGAACGCCGCGCCGTCCCGGTTGCCGGGCAACCGCTCAGCTTCGGCCGCGTGAAGCCGGCGCCGCGACCCGGCAGCCCGCCTGGCTCCGCCCATCTGGCTCCAGCCTCTTCCCGCCGCGCCGATTCTGCCGCAGCGCCGGGTTCTTTCCCTTTCTTCTCCTTCCCCCTCTTCCAGCTGGGACTTCCTCTGCTGGAAGAGGTACTAGTCAGGGGCCAGGGACTAGTTCCCAGTCCCAACTTAACAACTAGCTTGCTAAGTGACCTCGGGCAAGCCCCTTCCCCTCTCCATTTTCTTAACTGCTCAATGATAAGCAAGTTTTAAAATGTGTGTATCCCGCTGTCCCGAAATTTGCAGAGAAACGACAAACGATATGACCAAAAATTAACATTGCCCAGCGTTGTTCATCATAGCAAAATTATGGAAACAACCCCAATGTCCATCAAAAGGGGATTGATTATATATACGTAAGTCTGACCTGTGGAAGAGCTAAGTTAATTGAGTTTTTTACATATCCGGTAGCTCTACATGACTTAACTCTTGTCAGTGCTCATGATATAACCCTCTGAGATAGTACATTTAATTATTCCCACTTTCCAATGAGACATATTACGCAGCCGTTAAAAATGATGCAGTTAGACGACATTTAAAGATATGAAGAAATGGTAAGGAAGTATTACATTTAAAATCTGTTTCAAAGCTCTATGTACAGCATAAATATAATTAAATACATAACCAAAATATCCTGTGAACATATGGATAATCATCCATGATAGGAGGACTTCTTTAAGAAAAGAAATACAAAATTAAAAGTATGAATTTAAGTAACAAATGAAGATTTGGTTAAAAAGAGAAAAGAAACTCCCAAATGACAAATTTCAAAAACATCATAAAAACCTAGAAAAATAACATGATGTTGATTAGTTCCATGGGACTGACACACCCATGGAACACTCTCCACACACCAGCTTCCAGCTCCATGCTGACATTTCAGGCCTGGGACTGGGCATTGTAAGATCATATGCGTCTGCACTGAGATGCGACCTCTGACACCTTTGTGTCACAACATTAAGTTGAGTCAGCGCGATGCGTTCAGTGGATGTTTTCCTGAAGCCTTTCCTATAACAGGTCAGTTAGTAAAAATGTGAATAGTCACAAAAATGACAGGAAACTTGCGGGTCAAAAGTCTGCCCCAGCACTGAGGCAGCCACAGAGCTCCTCTCTCACCAGTTCTTGCCATCATGCTGGGAAGATTTCAGATGTGTCACTGAGAGCAGTAGGCACAGTTTAATAGAAGGGATGGGAACGTGAGTTCAAAGCCAGCCTCAACAACCTAGCAAAGCTCTAAGCAACTTAATGAGACCCTGTCTCTCTAAATAAAAAATAAAAATAAAAAGGGCTGGGGGTGCGGCTGAGTGGTTATGGGCCCCTGGGTTCAATCCCTGACTGGGGGAGGAAAAGGGGATGGGAAAAGGGGACACTCTCAAGGGAAGGAGCGGGTCCTCTCAGAAGGACAGTGGTCCCTTCCTGCTCTCCAGTTCTATTGGGGATCCCATGGAAGATTCCTGAGAGTCCCACCCAGGTCCACTTTTTGACTTTTGACTGACAACAGGATGACATCTGATTTCAAGTCCCCACTATACATGGTGAAGATGCAGGACAACTCTAGGTCCCTTTGGCCCTTGCTGACGGGTTCTAATTAGAACTTATTCTAACAGATTTTATGGTTAAGGGGAATCATCCTTATTTCCCAGAATTTTGGAACCTGGTCTGTGTAAAAGTCACAAAAGTGCCCCCTTCAGGGTAACTTGTGTGTTTATTGGCATTTCAAGCCTGCATTTCTCCAGCAGATAGYAGGTTGTTTGCTGAGGAATGGGACATGTCCTATTGACTGAGGCCRGGCAGGGCTGCAGGTCAATTGCTTCTTCAAAGAAAGCAAGTGAGGGGCAGCACAGTCGGCCCTGGGTATAGAGCTGTTCCTTAGCTTCATGTTCCCACCATRTTGCCTGCATTGGTCTGTTCCCTATCAGAAACCATACAAATAAGCTCCACTCAGCTGCCCAAATCCTCTGAGCTAGCTGTCCCACGCGCTCACACCTGCCCCGACATCACCCGATGTGGAGTGAAGTAGGCGGTGTACTCAACAGATCGAGGTTAAAATATCCTACTTTGGCAAACACAGCCCTAGGTGCCCTGCAGATCTCAGCCTCCCTGTTGCTAAACGGGAATAGCAACAGTGGTGTTGACTGGATTCTTCTCCGAGGAGTATAATTTAAATCAGGGCTTGGGAGATGGTTGAGATGTCTGGATCCAAGCCCTGCTGACACTTGCGCAAAAGATGTCTCTTCCTGGGCAAACAATAAACAMCACAAAACAAAAACCCAGGTTCACTTCCAGATGAAGAAGGTGAAGCAGATAGAGGGCAGAAGGGGTGGCCACYAGGACCCCAGGTTAGGCCACAGGAAGAGACGACATTTGGGCACACACTTCGATTCTAGGACGCTGGGCATCTTTGTGTGCCAACGGCATGTGAGAGATGTCCCCTGTGTCCAAGGAGTTGTTACAAACACCTGCTGTGAATTCAGAGTGATTCAAAGCATCGCCGTGGGAAAAGAGAGTCCAGATAATAAGAAGRTGAGCCAACTGTCATTAACTGACTTGGATAACAGGTTGTTTGCTGAGGAACGTGACGCGTCCTATTGACTTAGGCCAGGATGCTGGAYGTCGCGGTGGCTTTATCCTGACCCAGCACATGAGTAGCAGCAGCACTCGCCCAGTTGACAGGCCTGTGGTTCAGAGTGTGGGTCCTGCCTCCTCCAGAACCTGACCTTGGCACTCTTCATTCCACTCCCTCGATACCAAGATGGAATCAGCTCAGATGACCGCTCCCCATCTCCCGTGCACCCCGTGCACCTCGGGGTTCTGTTCTGTTTTGATTTATTTGATTTAAAGGGTACAAGTGTTAACTCACGTCTGATCTTTTCTGGGAGGACCCAACAGAAACTGATTCCTTGGTGGCAATTAGAGGTGACAAGGGAACGGGGAGGGATAAAAGCTTTTACAACATAGGTTTTATATCTTTGGGATTTTGTGCCTTGAAAACATATAGCGTATTTTTAAAAGCATAAGACACATTTCAGATAATCCAGGAGAAAAGAAACAAGGCAGCAGAGTCAAAGACAATTCATCCCAGACATGTCCCTCTGAACCCGGTGGGTGGACATGAGATGGAGACGCCCCTTCTGGAAGATGACAGTCATATTTCCAAACAAGACCAAACAAATTTAAATGCTGTATCAAGAGGTCAGTACTTTGCTTTCAGAAATTGACCCAAAGCAATTAATGCAGACTCAAAAGACCTAACAAGACTATTTACCGTAGTATGTCTACTGAAAGAAAGAAGAGGAAAAGGAGAAGAGGAAGAGGAGGAGGGCACTGGGGGAGGACAGTCCCAAGCTCACCACCTGACCATGGGGCAATGGCGAAGGTGGCCCTTGGGACTCTCCCAGGGTCTCTTGTGCGGTTTCATCTGAAGGCTGGGCAAGGGAGGTTGGTGCCTGGCTGGGTAGCAGGTGCCCAGCAGCCAGGAGCTGCAGACTGGGGTGAGTGGGGGTGGGGGGCAGAGCCTCCTCCCACTCTTCTTGTAAGGCTGCAATCCCATCATGAAGGTCCCATCTTCAGTCACCACCACACTGGAGGTTAATGCTACAATATATGAATTTTGGGGACACACGCTGAATCCCTAGCACAGGACTGTATAAAGCAACTTCGGGGCTTCCTGCCCAGATCCCCAGAGATCCCACACGCTCACCTGAGGCCACTGAGCACAGAATGAGGGGGTAAACAGTCTTGGGGTGGGGGGTGGGTAGCGACAGGCCTGCAACTGAGGGAGGAGCATCAGGCCTGAGCCTGAGAGAGGAACAGCCCCAGTGGGGCCTTGCCAGCTCTCCAAATCCTGGGACTTCCACCGCCCAGGAGCAAAGAATGAGGTTTGAATCTGAACCTCTGGAAATGTTTGATCCAGAGGGCTTCGGATCCTTAGAATCCTGCARTCTAAAGCCCTGGGATCCCGCCACCCTGGGCTCTCAGAAAGAATTACAGAAAGCAGAAGCTTTCACCATCTGGCATCGGGCACACATGAAGAAGTCAGAGTGGAAAGACACAGAGCTGAGGTCAAACCCAGCGCTTCCAGAAACAGGGGAGGGGAGGGATGATGGTTTTCAAGTGGAAGCGTCAGGAAAATCCTCTCCCAGAACTTTCTGGGAGGATGGAATGCTTGACGTCCGCCAACACGGTACCCAAGGCCTGTGTGGCTCTTGAGACCTTGCGATGTGGCCAGTACAATAAAGAACTGGATTTACATCTTACTTAATTGTGTTGACTTAACTGTCAGCAGCCGCACAAGGCCAGTGGCCACCACACTGGACATCAGGACTCCAGAGTCCAGGTTGCCTCTTCTTCGATTTCCCTCCCATATTCCAGGCTTCCTCAGGGAGAAGGGACCAATCTGTGTTCCTCTGTGAGTTGCTCTCCCACAGTGGCTAATTTTAACAGWGAGGCAGCCTCAGATTTGGAGCTAAGGTAGAATTTTTGTTTCTTTTTTAAAAGTGAATTGTACATGCAATAAAATTCTCTAATTTTAAGGCTACAMTAGGGCAAGCCAGGCACAGTGGCACATGCTTGTAACCCAGCAACTCAGGAGGCTGGAGGCAGGAGGATGGCAAGTTCAAGGCCAACCTCGGCAACTTATCTGAGACCCTAGACACCTTAGTGAGACCCTGTCTCAAAATAAAAAATAAAAAGGGCTGGAGATACAGCTCAAGGGTAAAGCTTCCCTGGCTTCAATCTCTGGTACAAAAATAAAAAGCCCACTGGGGTGATTTTTGACAAACTTATAATCTCTGACCACC